AAATCCAACTGCTCCAAGCTGTGAGCTGCTGCACGCTCTGGAGCTGAGGCATTGCACAAGGACGACCTGCCCTCATCACTGTGTCCTGCAGTGGCACGATTGGGATGATGGTGATTTGGGGCTGCTTTCACCTATGTGGGACAAACCAGGCAGGATGGATAAACTGGATGGACACCCCCAAGATGATGTGAGCCCTGCCCACAAGGACGTGTTGTTTCTGATGCTAAACCCTAGTTGATTTACACAGCAAGAAGGATTGTGGCCCCTCATTTCAGGGTGCTAGATGAGATTGATCAGCCCAGCCTTGCTCTCCTGCAGTGCTTTGTGTTTGTTTTCATGGGGTTGCTGCTAAAGGCTATCAGCTTGTTTCTGGAGCCTTGCTCAATATGCTCTACATGGAAAGGCATGTTTCATTTTTAAGTTGAAGGGGGAAAAAAAAAAACCAACAACCCCCCCCCCCCGCACACACACACACAAAAACCCAAACAAACATAAAATGCAGCGTGGCACAGATTAAATCCATTCGAGACAACTCGAAGAGGGGGAAAAAAAACCACCCCGCCGTATGTGCAAATCAATAGGAGGAGGGGAGAGGAAGGGGGGAAAAAGCAACTGTGACATATACAAACCCTTTAGTGTGCATAGCAAAAGATTTTTTGGCTGGCACTCACATGATTTTATTCAAGGGCTGGGAAAGAGCTACGATTAGTTAAAAGCTTCAGCAAAGTCTGGAGGGAGTGCTCTGAAGAGTTGGGAGCCGCGCAGAGGTGACTGTAACTCCTCTCGCAATTCCAGGCTATTCTTCTGTGGCTCAGGACAAAAGCCTTTTCTTTTCCCTGCGTGTTCAAAGAGACATTTGTCTTGAGATGTTGCAGCTGTGGGCCACGGGATTGCCTGTTTGAAGATACCCCCTCGTAGACGAAAGGAGAGGCAGCGCACTGAAAAGTGGTAGTATTTTCTCGTGTGTGGGTTCCCCCCCTTCCTCCTCCCTCTCTCCTCCTCCACTGCCATGTGTGGTTTTTAATAAGAAGAAGAATGTGGAGGCAACATTTTCCAGGCAAGGGGAAATTTCCTGTTTCTTTTCTGTTTGTTTAATAAAGTGTGTAGTTGACTGTAAAACTGTAGCTACTCTGTCGTGAGCGGGTAATTCAGGCGAGCGTCAGGATCGCTTCTCGATGCACTTTTATATACTGCAAGTGAACATGTTTAAAGCCTTTTTTCCCCCCCTTTCTTTTTCTTTATTTCATCTATTTCCTTAATGCTGCGTGGCGGAGGCAACTGAGATTAATAAGAATTAGGCAAATGGCTTCTGCTTTTGTTGCTGTGAGATAGTACCAGCCGTCTTGCGGTCACACAAAGGCTGCCATTTAGCAGGGAGCACTCCCTAATTCTCTTGGCAGGGGTGCCATTGGGATCGGATACAAGTGGGTGGCAAAGGGGAGGAGCGGCAGGAAAGGACAAGCAGGCTTTGTGTATTAAAAATGAAACAAAAGCACTTTATACGGCGGGGCTGCGTGCAACAAGCCGGGGTGGAGTTTGAGTTCTCTGTGTGACTGCAAAACCTCTCCTGGGGTTTCTTTCCCCCCCCTTTCTTTCCATAAACCCTTCCTCCTCTCCCTCCTCCTTACGAGCTCTCCCTGCAATGCTGGCGAGGGTCCTCGGGCTGGAAATGCCTACAGAAAAATAGACAAGACGACTTGTTACAACTTTGGGAGCATGGCTGGGGCTTTGCGGGCAAAATCAGCTTCAGTTGGTGGGGGAGATGCTGGATTTGGGAGGCTGATCCCACTCCAGCTCCAAGGAGAGCTGGTCCATGGCGTTGCATCACTCGATGGAGTGGACCCAGTGGTGTTGGAAAGCGAATGGGTTAATGCTGTGATGTTTGATCAGGATTTAAGGGGGGGAGCGTGTGGTGTTTCATTACTTTCTGATCCATGGCATACCTCGTTCTTAATGAAGCAGGCGCATGCAGAGCAAACGTGTTGTATGAGCAGGGGTAAAAAGGAAAGCAGACTGAGTGCAGCTTGGTTTTGTGAGCTGAAATGGTTTGGGGTTGAGTGTGTTCGTGCAGGAGGCAGGAACCAGGACAGTGAAGAACAGATGCAGGGTGGTGGAGAGGCAAGGAGAGAGGCTGGCAAGGAAAATACACTGCGGGTTCAGGGGCAAACCTGACAGTGGTTTTTGTTAAGGTGTCATTTCCATACACTGTGCACTTCATCTCGTATTGATTTGCTCCAAAACTTCCCTTGTGGGGCTGAAGTAAATTCCCTTGTTGAAGATAGGGAAATGAGAGACCTGCCTCTGACCACCTCGCAGTTCCCAGCCAGCATTCACCCTCGGCGACTGCGCTTCTGTGTGCGGGCGAGGGTGACGTGCCTCACAAGCCTGTGTCATCGTGCACAATTACATCCCTAATCCCAAGCAAAGACACAGATGCTGCTCCAAAAAAAAAGGAAAAAGCTGTGTTTCGTTTGACTTTCAAAGAAGCTTATGCAATGGCAGTGTAATAAACCCGTTATTTTAGGGCTCAGATTAAAGGTGAGCGTTTCAGATAACCCACGGTTTCATCTTCCATGTGCTACGCTCAAGGAAGCCACCACCAGCCTCCATGTGCCATTGCTCTGCCTTGAGGATGATCCTGGTCCCCAGCGGGCACTGAGCTCAGTTTGTCCAGATAGGGGATGGGGGTGGATGGGGGTGGCGGCCACCAGGGCTAGGACCACCATGGCCACCTTGCTTCCTTTGTATTTACAGTTGTGGTGTGAGGCTGGTACGTGATGCTCTAAGTCTTGGAGATCACACACGTTAGTGTTTAAGTCAGTGTTATAATTCACTGGCTTGTTAACTTGAGAAAATAATCTAGTTGTGGTGTAGGGCTTCACATAAGGATTGTGTAAGCACTCTGAGATTTGCACGTTTTTATTCTTGCTTATCTGCTTATGGCAAGCTTCTTTGCCTTATCCAAGTCATCCCAGCACTCTACCCTGCCTACTGATACACTTGCACTTCCATCTGGATGAAACGAGGGCAAACATCATGTATTACTTCCAGTACATGCTAATGGAGAGCTCAGTAGGAAAGACAGAGAGGAGAACCTGTTCCAAAGACTTTCATGTGTAATGCTGGATATCTCCTGTCAGGTCTGCTGGTTCATCATGTCTTAAAGCAGATTCAATAAAACAGGAGCAGAGAGCCATTAAACCCACTCCATTGAACCTGCCTGTTCCCATGGACTTATTTTTTGCCCATATAAAACTAAAGTATGGTACCCCACTTTCATATGCAACAGTGTGGATCCTCCCTGGGGAGATGCTCTTGGTGCCATCATCACCCTGGCCCGTAGTGCCTGTCTGTCACATACACATCAGCTGGTGGAGATCTTACGAATACTTTACCTGGCAGCAACGTGGGCAAAAAGGCACATCTAATTTTCCCTTTAAAAAGAAACAAATTTGTTGCTCTTCTCATTAGTTTTTGACTCTCACTCTAATACCAGCTGGTGAAGGAGCCTCCAGTTCTTGGCTTTAGTCTGACTCACTCCAACAGTGCCACAGACAGTAGCATTTGTTCTGTAATGCCCTGTGTGAGATGTTTAACCTGCCAGAATATCCCAAAACAACTCCACGGAGTTCCCTCAGCCAAGCCCTGTGCTTGACCAGCAGTTTCACTGCGAGTAAGTAGGGATACCAGTGACGTGGCAGGGAAAAGGCGCTGATCCAGAAGGAGTGAAGGTGTTCACTATGTCTATTAGCCCCTCAATGAAAGGGATCTCACAGCCATTGTGCTTAAAGGTGAGCCAGATGTTGGCTGGTAGCCCTGGAAGGTTCCTGTGTGGAAGTAGAGGGGTCAGTTAGGAAAGGGGCTTTGTGGGGATTTGGAGGTTCAAACCCAAACCCTTCAGTCCCGGCTATCTCATGGTGCAGCAGCAGTAATAAAGCACCACTCTGTGCCCTGAGCACCTACTTCCCCTTCCTGTGTTCTTTCAAAACCCACCTGGGTAGCCAAAAAAGACAGATGGGATATGTTGTACAGATCCGATGTAATCCATGCCCTTACTGAGTGGTCAAAGGAGGCATAGAAATTTGCGTTGTCCAAAACTGAACTGGTTAATTCCAGGCAGAGCAATACACAGGGTACAAAATCAGCCTTCTGCAGCCCTTGGTGGGGATTGATCCTTTCCTCACCTCTGTCTGGAGAACATCATTGTGTGAAATGGGAAAACCACAGCACAGCTGAACAGAGCCCTCAGTACAAACTGTTTGAAGGGAGCAGCCCGTTGAGGTGTGTGTCAGTGTGAGAAGAGCAGTGTCCTGCATGTGCACGCAGCGCCACAGCAGCCATTTCATCCTGTATGGGCAGGTCCTTTGTGCTGGCTCCTAGAGCATCCTATGGGATGCAGGGATAGACCGGGTTTGATTTTACAAGGTAAGCTGAGCTTTGCTGTTTCCAGCCTTTTGGTAGTTGGTAATAGAACAGTATATAAGCCTGAATCCTAAAGAGGTCTCTGTTATCCTGCTTTTTCTGTGATTTTCCAGTAACCCCTTTTTTTTTCATGGATGTCTCCTTGGATTTGTCTTTCAGAGGTGGTCAAAATGGTAAAGTCATTCCTTACAAAAACAGACCAAGTGTCAGCAGAGCGAAATCCCAGCCCTCCTGCAGGCAGGGAAAAACTTACTGCTGGCTTGGGTTTCACTGCTAAGATGTGAAATAGAGCAGTTGAAGAGGCGGCAGCTCTGGATTATGCTGGTTTGGTTGAAACGTGGCTTGTGTTGGTGAAGATCAGCACAGTGGAGATACATCCCCATTGAGTGCCAGTGTTCATCCCTGTCCTGCCAGCAGGCTTCCTTGTGTTTATACCCCAGAGAGAGACCCGAACCGTGTGCTGACTTCACACTGCATTGCCATCGTCCCTTGATATTCATTGTTCAAGCTGAAACCATGTGCTGCTGAGCACACACAGGTACCCCTTGCTGTACAAGCCATGCTCCTTCTGCTTGCAGGTATTCGCCCCCAGATCATGAACGGCCCCATGCACCCGCGGCCGCTGGTGGCACTGCTGGACGGCAGGGACTGCACGGTGGAGATGCCCATTCTGAAGGACCTGGCCACGGTTGCTTTCTGTGACGCACAATCAACTCAGGAGATTCATGAGAAGGTAACGTGAGCTACAACGGTAGCTGCGGGCGGCGTGCTCTGGTCATCCTCTCCCTGCTCTTCTTGAGCAGAAAGGGTACGAAGGTGCTCTCTGAGTCCACCAGCAGAAATCACTGCAGATTAAAGTTCATCGAGGATGGTTTAGAAGCCAGATGTTATTTGGGGGAAAATAGTCACCTTACCTCTTTGCATCAGGCTTTTTACATCAATAACATGAATGTTTCTCACGTTGTTTAAAGTCCGCTTGCTCAATGCAGCAGTAACACTCTGCACCTCTCCAGAGTACAGCAGGGTTGCTCTGGCTTTGCTAACAGCATCCCACGCTGCAGCCGATGGGTCTCTTCTGGTCATTTCTCCCCCTCGGGCAATGGGTGAGGTTTGGGCATCATGCAGGCAGATCCATGCAGTGTGGATGGGCCTTATGGGTGTTTCTGCTTGGAAGCTCAACCACTTGTAAATATTTCTTTAAAGCATATTGGTAGTGCACGTTTAGACAGCTCCAATGAGATCTGAAGTGATCAGAAATCACTTCCAGGATCTGGGAAAGAGAACTACAAATAGCAGCAGTGCTGATCTTTGCAGTGTTTCAGGTATTAAATGAGGGGGAAGGAGGAGGGGGGGGGATTTGTGAGACGCTGACAGATGATAGATGAGCCAGTCTTGGAGAATTTGGCTAGGTCTTGAGGTTATGGAGCTCTGAAATAGCTTATGGTGAGCACTAATGATGGTTTGAATCTTCACTGAAGGGGATGAAGTGCAGCGTTATGTGATGGCACAGCCTCATGTGGATCTTTTTAGGGACTCTTGAAAACGCACAGAAAAGGTTAATGTGAACAGTGTGACAGGGACTTGAACGAACAGCATGCAAAAGAAGGTTGAGGAGTCATGAGTGACACACGGTCGTGTTCAAAACCAGCAGATACTGCTGTAAAACCTAATTCTTTTTTAAAGGCAGAATTACTGCTGTCGGGAGCAGAGGGATAACAACCTGGAAAAGGGTCCAGGTGAGTGACAGGCTCAGTTCTCCACTGCCTCGGTTCCTCAGATGTAACAGCATCATTTTCAGATACCCATTTAGTCTGTACGCAGAGGGAATGGCCGCAGTACCGGTGCATCACACCCGTGATGGCTTTGCTGGCAGCCTGGGTCAGACAGTAGTAACTCAGCAGTAAAAATAGACCATGTATTGTGTAACCTCCTCGATTCAGGAGCTGCCGATGTCCCGTCCTGCTGGCTCCTGACCCCTCTGTTCTGTTGCAGGTATTAAACGAAGCCGTTGGGGCGATGATGTACCACACCATCACGCTGACTCGGGAAGACCTAGAGAAGTTCAAGGCCTTACGGGTCATCGTTCGAATAGGCAGCGGCTACGACAACATTGACATCAAAGCTGCGGGGGAGCTCGGTAGGTCTCAGCTCTGCACCCGATTCGCTCTGTGTCCCTCTGCGTGTTTAAAATCAGTACAGGTACCTGCTGCTTCCCATGCGAGCGTGTTGGCAAAGCAGAGGTACAGGGAGGACCCCCCAAAGGGGGCTGATTTAGGCCCTAAAGTTACAGATATAGTTTAAATTCTTCTGCATGTAGAGATGATGATGAGAAAACTTGACCATGAGGTAAACAGAACGGTGCAGCTTTAGAAGGCAGCTGTTAGGCTCCTACTGCATTAAAACTGTTCCATCTCAGTTCCTTGCTCCTGTGCTGTCCCTGGTTCCAGGTGCCTGCTTGTGCCAACAGGTATTTGTATGCCTGTTCTATTTCTGAGTTGATCTAGCTTTAAAAACATTGGAGGAAGGGTGGGTTAGTGTGTTTTCTTAGGTGAGATCAGTCTTCTGATCTGATCTGATCTTATCTGATCTCATTCTTGGAGCGATAGAACCTTGGAATGGTTTGGGTCAGAAGGATGGTTAAAGCAGCACAGCTTCTCTGGGCACCCTGTGCCAGCGCCTCAGCACCCTCACAGGGAAGAGCTTCTGCCTAAGAGCTCATCTCAGTCTCCCCTCGGCCAGGTTCAAGCCATTCCCCTTGGCCTGTCCCTACATCCCTTGTCTAAAGCCCCTCTTCCAGTTCCTTGTCATGCCCACACCACCGGGAAGGCAACCTGTCGGATGGTGGAGCAGGAATTGTGCATTGCGTTGTTGCTGCCTCCTTTGCAATCTCATCAAATGTGCCTCAGGAACTTACAAAAGAGCTTTACTGTGGGTACATATCACATGAGATGCCAAAATAGAGAGGGTCACGTTGTCAGGAAGCAGACCGTACATCTAGCTATGGGATATTTCAGCATGCCTTGGTTTGAGGGGTACATGCTCAGACAGTGCTGGGGTCACCCAGTTTCCATGCTGGTTTGGCTGGCCACAGAGACCTTTGGTTGCACACCCCCAGCTACAAGAGCTCAACTGTAGCCTGATTTTAACAGCTGAGTTCTAACTGGTTTTGATCATCCCAACATTCAGTCTATCATCAAGCACAATAGTGTTTCAGATATCTTGTATTAAAGGTTATCTCTGGGGAAGTGAGGAATAACAACCATCTCACGTGAGCCATTTTACAGAGATCATTGTGATAAGAGAGTTTCAAATAGCCATTCCTATAAAAAGCAATTCTCAATACACTGAATTATTCTCTTTTTCGAGAGGAGAACAGTATCTTCCCAACGTAATGGTTTCTTCATGTTTTAAGCTCTTATTGTTATTATCCATTATAACAATATTCTGAGGCTTTGAACAGCAAGAAAGGACAAATATAACGAATAAGGTAATGGGATGCTGCAGTATAATCCTTCTTTTTATACTTGGCAAATTGGGTGGCCAAATGATGTGGTTTCGAGTAGAAAATGTAATGACTACCCACAAATGTGGCGTAAAGTTTAATTTGGTTTGCTTTCCGTAAGGTAGTTTTTAAACTGTGTAGTCAGTAAATGACCGGGGTCTAAACACTGTTGGTGGGGCTGGGTTTGACCCACTATAAAACCCCCCAGAGCCAGATGCTGGTGTTGAGCCATCCGCTGTGGGTATCTATCCCCTGGTACCAGCAGCTCCTGGGGGCACAAGAATAAATAATGATGTGAAGCTGATGGAAAGGCAGCCTGGTGTCACCCAGCTCTGTAAGCAAGTGGTCCATCAGAAAGGGATGGGTGCTGGCAGGGTTGGTGATGGGGACCCTTGGCAGAGCTGCAGGCTGATGGAGACCTGCCCATCACCTTCTTGTCTCTTCCGCCATGAGCAGCCATAGCCTCTGCTCACAGATGGGCAGGAGCAGTTGTCTGATGCTTCAATGTGTTTTCTTCTTGGGAAGCTCTCCATACCCTTCATTAGGGACTTGGGCAGGCGGTCAGATGGCTTCTGGGCTGCACCCACATCTATGAGGTAAATCAAAAGGTCCCCTCTGTGGAAGAAATGGGGAATGTAAAATGAGACATCAGCTTTAAGAGCTTGTGGGGACCAGAGCCCTGTGTCCCCATCATCTAAAAGAGAGAGGAGGTGAGCAGTGCTGGTTGGTGGTGGGTTTTTCACCCTGCAGGGTCAGTGAGTTTTTCTCCCAGTTCCCATAAGTCTTTCAAATAGCTGCAGGGTGGAAAACAGTTTTACAAAGGAGTGGAGGGACAGAACAAGGGGAATGGCTTTAACCTGCCAGAGGGGAGACTGAGATGAGCTCTTAGGCAGAAGCTCTTCCCTGTGAGGGTGCTGAGGCACTGGCACAGGGTGCCCAGAGAAGCTGTGGCTGCCCCATCCCTGGCAGTGTTCAAGGCCAGGTTGGACACAGGGGCTTGGAGCTAGCTGCTCTAGTGGAAGGGGTCCCTGCCCGTGGTAGGGGTTGGAACTGGAGGAGCTTTAAGGTCCCTTCCAACACAAACCAGGCTGACAAAAACAGCAGAGCAGCTCCTGGGAGCAGGGGTATTGGCAGGGGATGGGATTTTGAATCAGTGCCCCTCACAGTGGAAGGGAATTTTCTTACTCTTTCTGTATCTCCTACTTGTTCTACCCATGGTATCTATTCAAAGGCCCCAGTCCAGTAGAGCACCCAAATACACATCCACCTTTAAATGTGTGTGTAAATCACATTGAATCTGGTGGGATATAAGCTCTGCTGAATAGACATGACATTAAGCACATCCTTACCCATGTTACCCAAGCCAGAACCCGGATGGGGCCATAATCAGGGAGGCATTTTCAGTGAACTTAATACTTACAGCTCCAAGCACTTTAAGATAAACCTTTTGTGGCTAAGGAACAAATGATGGTGAACATGCTGTGGTGGCAGTGGTCACCCCGTGTCTCGCAATGGGGTGTTTTGACTGTTCTAGTGCTTGTTAGTGAAAGGAGAAGCTGGCCCTGCCACCGACGTGGTGCACCAAACCTTGGTCCCTAAATAACTTAATGCTTGAACAGTGTTGTTCTGGAAAAGGAGTGACTTCTGCCAGTGAAATTTAAGTCCCTTTGATGATAGATTAAACTGAAGTGAGACCTTTGCTGCTGGGGTTACTCCTGTGTAGCTGCCACACTCGAAACCTGTGCTTGTCCTTCCTCCTTAAGGGTATGGGGGACCCCTCAGTGTTACCGGTCATGGTGTGCTTTGCAGAGATTTCAGGCTGCTGCACCTGAACCACGCACATCCTCAGTAGCCGTTACTCCAATGCTTTAAGCAATGATGCACTTGGGTGACGTGAGGGTGAAGGGCTGGATCCCCCCGTCCGCTTTGCCCCCCGATCCATGGCTGCTCTCTGTGGCATTGCTTCCGCAGGGATCGCCGTCTGCAACATCCCGTCGGCGGCGGTGGAGGAGACGGCCGACTCCACCATCTGCCACGTCCTCAACCTGTACCGCCGCAACACGTGGCTCTACCAGGCGCTGCGGGAAGGCACGAGGGTGCAGAGCGTGGAGCAGATCCGGGAGGTGGCCTCCGGAGCCGCCCGCATCCGGGGGGAGACGCTCGGCCTCATCGGCTTCGGTACGTTGGCAAAGGGATGCACGCGGTGCAGCGCTGGCACAGGGCTCATCCGCTGAGGGGTCCTCGGCACCAATTCACTGCCCTTTGAAGGACCCAAAATGAGCATTTCCCAAACCAGAACCATTGATGTAACGTGGAGAGAGCATCTTACATTGGACTGGGGGGAGAAAGGAGATGCATTTTGTTAAGCCTTTACTGAGTCCAAGAAGGACCACACCTGGTAATGCTGCCATCCTCTCCCACAAAACCCATTCCTGAGTCACAGCACCGCCAGCCCAGCTCCTCCTGAGCCATTCCGGAGTAAAACAAGGTTTGTCTTCAGTTCACCTATAGCTGTAGAGAGTGTCAGCATGAGAGGTGGCAGCACCTCTGCTGACAGCCCTCCTGGGTATCCCTATTGGTAGCCAAGCCCAGCCATCACACGATGGGTCAGGAGGTGCATTGAGGCAACAGCAGTTCATCCAGCACTTGGTGGCCCGACACATACAAAACAGAGCAGAGATTTGGTGAGGCTGGAGCAGCAGATTGGGGTCAGTCTGTCAGGGTCAGGGTGAGGATGGCAGCATGTGCCCAGCTGTGCGCTCACATCTGGCTGCCCACGCAGGCACCCAGCTGATGTCCCCTTGTCAGCCACGCAGCTCTGGGGCACCGGTACAGCATTAAGTGTGTGTGTGCATGGGGGGACATCGCTGTGCACCCAAACCAGGCACGTGCAGGGCCCCTGCACTGCTCCCAGCTGGAACAACTGACATTGAAACCATTGAGGCTTGGCACACAGGGCACACGGAGCCTGCCCAGCCGGTGGATCCAGTGATGCTGCAGCCCTTCCCCAGCACAGCATCCACACAGCCCTTTGCTTCCAAGCCACGACAGTTGTCTCTGTCATGCCCAATTAGCCAGCCAGAGGCTGGAAACCTCCCCATCCCAAAGAAGCTGTCTGAAAGGGAAGGTGGAGCTTTTTGCCTTCCCTCTTCATCACTCCTTGCTAGACACAGCACCCCAGAGGATTGTTCCTCTGAGGAGCCCAGGGGGTCCCACAGCAGCCCCAGGGCCACGCTGGGGTGTCAGGGGCTCAATGGGAAGGTGGGAATGGGTTAAATGAGCCCCTCTCTTTGCTCCCTTCGCACACAGGTCGCACTGCGCAGGCGGTCGCAGTCCGAGCCAAGGCGTTCGGCTTCAACGTGATCTTTTATGACCCGTACCTGCAGGATGGGATTGAGAGGTCCCTGGGGGTCCAGCGGGTCTACACACTGCAGGACCTGCTCTACCAGAGCGACTGTGTCTCGTTGCACTGTAACCTTAATGAACACAACCACCACCTTATCAACGACTTCACGATCAAGCAGGTAATTCACCTTGTGTGCATAGGATCATGGAATGGTTGGGTTTGAAAGGGACCTTAAAGCTCATCCAGTCCCAATCCCCTGCCACGGGCAGGGACACCTTCCACTAGAGCAGCTTGCTCATGATCAAGGAGATGTTCTGCTCTTCAGCGGTGTTCCCTCTGGTCATGGCCACTGCCTCGGTGCCTATGGGTTACCTCCACATTACTGCTTGCACCCAACAGCCCGTTTGTCTCCCCACTGTGTTTATTGGGGTGTAGCGTGCTGCCAGGTAAGTGAGCCCTGTGCCCATGGTGTAGTGGCAACGGCAGAAGCAGACTTTGCTTGCCAATACCACCCAGAGCTAGACTTCTGTAGAAAACCAGAAGAGGCCACAAGGATGCTCAGGGGCTGGAGCACCTCCTGTATGAAGACAGGCTGAGGAAGTTGGGGCTGTTCAGCCTGGAGAAGAGAAGGCTGCGTGGAGACCTCAGAGCAGCTTCCAGTATCTGAAGGGGGCCTGTAGGGATGCTGCGGAGGGACTCCTCATTAGGGACTGCAGTGACAGGACAAGGGGTAATGGGTTCAAACTTAAACAGGGGAAGTTCAGGTTGGAGCAAAGGCAGAAGCTCTTTCCTGTGAGGGTGCTGAGGCGCTGGCACAGGGTGCCCAGAGAAGCTGTGGCTGCCCCATCCCTGGCAGTGTTCAAGGCCAGGTTGGACACAGGGGCTTGGAGCAAGCTGCTCTAGTGGAAGGTGTCCCTGCCCGTGGCAGGGGTTGGAGCTGGGTGAGCTTTAAGGTCCCTTCCAACACAAACCAGTCTGGGGGTTCTATCAAACCACATACACTGGGATGGGGATTGCTTGGGGCTGGAGCGCAGCAGCACAGCATGGGAAGTGATGTACAGTCCTGGATGGAGGCACCCCGGGGCACCCGCTGCTGCATCGGGATGGGGTAGGACCAGGTCCCTGCATGGGGCTGACTCTCCTCTCTCTGCCAGATGAGGCAGGGAGCGTTCCTGGTGAACACAGCACGCGGGGGACTGGTGGACGAGAAGGCCTTAACCCAAGCCCTGAAGGAGGGACGGATACGAGGGGCTGCGCTTGACGTGCACGAGTCTGAACCGTTCAGGTACCGCTGCTGCTCCTGAGGCTGCTCCTTGGGTTACCATCAGCACACAGCACCCTGAGGCTGCTCCTTGGGGTACCATCAACACACAGCACCCTGAGGCTGTTCCTTGGGGTACCATCAACACACAGCACCCTGAGGCTGTTCCTTGGGGTACCATCAGCACACAGCACCCTGAGGCTGTTCTTTGGGGTACCATCAGCACACAGCACCCTGAGGCTGTTCCTTGGGGTACCATCAGCACACAGCACCCTGAGGCTGTTCCTTGGGGTACCATCAACACACAGCACCCTGAGGCTGTTCCTTGGGGTACCATCAACACACAGCACCCTGAGGCTGTTCCTTGGGGTACCATCAGCACACAGCACCCTGAGGCTGTTCCTTGGGGTACCATCAGCACACAGCACCCTGAGGCTGCTCCTTGGGGTACCATCAGCACACAGCACCCTGAGGCTGGTCACACCGTGGGGCAGTCCCATGAGGTGGGAAAACCAACACCCTGTAACACTGGTGTGCTCTGCTGGCACAAGGGTTACAAATGCAGAGACACCCCCAGCAGCGATTCCCATGGGAGCACTAAGACCTACCCGCAGCAGGCTGGGTTTCAGCCCTGTTGGCTCTTGCTTGGTGTATTTTCATATTGGAAGCTGCTCCCTTTCCTTCTGTGGCCATTTGGGATTGGCAGGACTCTGCCTGGTCGCCCCCAGCACAGGAGCCATGGGTGAGGGGCTGGGGAAGGAGGCTTGCATACACGTAGGGCAGGCCGTTTGCTGATGCTGACATCCTTTACTCTCTCTTTAAACATGGATCAATGCCTTTCTAAACATGGATCAATGCCTTTTTCTTCCCCCCTCTCCCAGTTTTGCTCAAGGCCCATTGAAAGATGCTCCTAACTTAATCTGTACCCCACACACGGCCTGGTACAGCGAGCAGGCGTCCCTGGAAATGAGAGAAGCTGCTGCTACTGAAATCCGGCGTGCCATCACAGGTACCCAGCCCGTGTGCGTGCTGGAACGGGAGCAGGAGGGGCAGGGATGGGGCTGCACCATGGCCATGTCCCTGTAGGAGACTGGGAAAAGGGTTTGAATCCCATTGTCCTCCCAGTACAAGAGCTGAGAAACCAAACTCTTTACCTTTTTGTCCTTCAGGTGTGCTGGTGGTTGGTGAAGGGGTTGGGGGGTTTGGGTTTGGTTCTTTACATCAGTGGGGCGCTTGTGCAGTGTGCCAAAGACTGATGTCTGTGACTGGGAATGACGATGAAACAGTCACTGCAGCAATAATTGCTGCCCCTTTGAATGGTGCTAACCCAGAAGATGCTGCAGAGCATCACAGACAGCGTATGAAAACCCAAAACCTGCCCCATGGAAGGCTTCATGTTAACATGGAGGGCACAGCTTCATGTCAGGCTAGCCCCTGCTTTGAAAGCAGTGGGTCAAGGAAACGTTTCCTAAAGCAGAAAGTTGGGATGGGGTGGGAAAATGGTTTCCAACCCTGCACCTTGGGATGGCCAAAATCTCCTCCTGAAACAAGGGATATGGGATTTTTATCCCCATTCTTTACAGTAACTATATATATATATATGATTTCATATACATATACATATTGATTGATTGAGGGGACTGGAGCCCCTCCCATATGAAGATGGGCTGAGAAAGTTGGGGCTGTTCAGCCTGGAGAAGAGAAGCTGCGTGGAGACCTCAGAGCAGCTTCCAGTATCTGAAAGGGGCCTATAGGGATGCTGAGGAGGGACTCTTCTTTAGGGACTGTAGTGACAGGACAAGGGGTAACGGGTTAAAACTTAAACAGGGGAAGTTTAGATTGGATATAAGGAGGAAATTCTTTCCTGTGAGGGTGGTGAGGCACTGGAATGGGTTGTCCAGGGAGGTTGTGAATGCTCCATCCCTGGTGGTGTTCAAGGCTAGGTTGGACAGAGCCTTGGGTGATATGGTTTAGTGTGAGGTGTCCCTGCCCACGGCAGGAGGGGCTGGAACTTGGTGATCTTAAGGTCCTTTCCAACCCTAACTATTCTATAATTATTTTTATATATATATATATATATACACACACATATACACAAACTATATATATATATACATATATATATACACACTAATAGTGTAACATATATATAGTATATGCAGTATATATACAATAACTATATATATTACAATAACTATATATATACAGACATACATATATAACACATATATATATAGTGTGTGTGTGTGTGTATGTATATATATACACATATATAAATGAAGAAATTGTGGCTTACGAGAGGATGCTAAAGCTGGGACCCTCCTGACACACACTTCCCTTTATCGCCAACTCCAGGGCGCATCCCAGAAAGCCTAAGGAACTGCGTCAATAAGGAATTCTTTGTCACGACGGCTCCGTGGTCAGTAATAGATCAGCAAGCGATCCATCCGGAGCTCAATGGTGCCGCGTACAGGTAAAGCGGGGAACAGGAGCCCTGCAGCTCCCCTGGCTGGGCCGGGGATGGGTTTGGGGCTCCGGCTCTGAAGTGAGCCTGGAAGCTCTGTAACAAAGCCCCTCTGTGCTGGCTCAGCTTGGTGGCCGAGATCCCCCTCCCTGGGGACCGCAGTCACAGCGCTGGGGTTACAAGAGATGCTTGATGTAATTGTGGGGTTAGGAAGCCTCTTGTTCCTAAAGCCTCTGTTCTGCTGGGCCAGCAGCCACTTGTACAGCACCACTGTTAGTGCCGGGACCCCCCTCCCCAGGGCCATGAGCAGGCAGATGGAACTTCTAAACCGAATTCACTGTGAGCCCAGCCCAGGTAATGGGGCAATGAGCTAGGAGCAGAACTCCACCTATAAGCCCATAGTCAGGTAGCCTCATTCCCATCTAAATCCCAGGAATTAGGGTTACTTACTGCTCCCCTTTGGATAGCTCAAAGGATGCTGATAGGAGATAGGAGATATGAGGACGTAGCTGGAGCACAGGCACCCTTCACCAGATCACCATTGCCAAAAATACTAGATACCAAAAAAACCTGCAATTCACTGGAGCAAATGCTCACTTTGACCAGCAGAATGTGTAGACCAAAACATCCACACCTGGTGAAAGCATCCCCCATGGTCCTGCTCCAAAGCACAAGGGTGATGATGCCCTTATCCTGTGATGCCCTTTACGGCCTTAATCTCTGCCTCTGCCAGGTGCTTCATCCAGGCTCAGCTCCTCCAGAGCCATGGCCCTGGAGTCCCTGTAAGCTGGTACCTGGGATCAGCTCACCCCATCCATGGGCAGGTAGAACCTTCCTTTCCCTCCACTCTTCCCTAAGGAGATGGTGGCTGGAGGGAGCTGCTTGTGGCTGGGGCCCTCAGAGGGTTTTGGCCTTGTTGCACCCTGTCACATCTTCCCTGCGCCCAGCTGGATTCTCCTTTAGCATCATGGTTTGGACCACTCACCCTGCTCTTAGGAAGGCAAATGGACTACATCCAACCCTGCTTTCCAGCTGTGCTCTCTGGTTACGTGAGGAAGATGCAGCTCACTTTCCATGGAGGGCTAACTTACAACCAGGTGTATGTGTCCAAAGGTACTCACAGGGATGCGTGAGTAAGAGCATGCTAGCGTGTGGTGCTTCAGAGAGCATGCAGGGTTATTCCTTACCCAGTTTTACAACAGAGGCTTCTTCATGGTTCAAGAACCTGTTAGGAGGTGGAGAACAAGGTGCAGTCCTGGTGTCAGAGGGGAGGACACTCACACAGAACACAGTGGAACGGGTTTAACACTCAGCTACCCCTTGTAATTTAAAAGGAAACCAGGAATGGGATCTGCCCGTTTCCTCTGTAGTCTCTGGGATGCCCAACCTGCCTCTCCATGTCCCCTCTCCCAGGTATCCGCCTGGGATGGTCAGTGTGGCACCGGGAGGAATACCAGCAGCTATGGAGGGCATCATTCCCGGCGGCATCCCTGTCACTCACAACCTCCCCACAGTGGCACATCCTTCCCAAGCGCCATCTCCGAACCAGCCCACAAAACACGGGGACAACAGGGAACATCCCAACGAGCAATAGCAGCTAATTTAAAAAGCACTCCATAAACTTAGGACCAAGAGACGTTGGAAAAGAAGTTATCCACGGACTAAAGGAAGCATTTGATACGAGATTTGTAACGTTCCTTTTGGACAGACGCATCATTGATGGTCCCCTGTTCCCCACAAGGCGACAGCAGGTCAATGGGGAGAAGGCCTGAAGAAGTCGCCTCAACTGAAGCGCTGAAAACTCAGATGTGATCCATGAATGAGCAACTTCTGTTCTTGTGTGTTCAGTTTCCTTCATCTGTGCATCAATCACATGAATAAAGAGAGATTCTTTCCCCCCCACCTTTAATTCATTGGGAAGGGCAGAGCTTCTGCACCAGCTTTCAAACCGCTGCGTTCAGCCATCGCTGCGGAGTTAACACGGATGTGGCTTCAGCCCTTTCCTTACTCCTGGATCTGGTTACCTCTCCCAACAGGAAGCATTAGGCCTGGCTTAGAGGAAAAACATCCTAATAAACATAGGGCCAGTAATGGAAGTTCTCCTGCCAGGCTTAAGCTGGGATCCATGGGATGAGGAGGGCAGAAAGGGAATGGCCACTGCCCTCCTAAGCTAAAGGAAGAACCCAACAACTGCCCCATACACTGAATAAAGTAGCTGTGCATCCACCTCTGCCCTGCAATGATGCAAGACAAAAAAAAAAAGAGTAAAAAAAAAAAAAAAAGGAAAAAAGAAAAAAAAAAGAGAGAAGAAAGTATTAAGTTTCACACTATTTGTACTCAAATATATTTTCTCAGTTTTAAATCTGCAGCTATTTTATCAAGTGGAAAGAAAAAAAAAATGAAGTCTTGAGCTGGAAAAGGGCTCAAGAATAATGTTGCATTTCCTTATGTCTCAGGAAACACTTTTTATGGTAACTTGTCAGACTGTCTCTGAACAAACCCCCCCTTTTTTAGACATGGGTAAAAGAAGTCTTCTTTTCTTCACGTGCTATTTTATACAAGAACACTTGGACCACGTGCTATTAGATGTGACTGATTTTAACAAATCCTCTTAGATTTGTATCAACTTAGTTACATGTTATACTCATAGTCTTTTGTGAAGCATCGCCTTTTTGTTTTTAAGAGATGGCCGATGTTGAGCCCTTGTATGGGTACACTCCTGTTTCTGTGACATAACAAAATACCTGAAGCTGTCCCCAGCAACCAGAAAAGAAACCACACAACCCGATGGCTATCAGCAGTATGTTTTGTTTTAGTGTGTTACCGGTCCTGTATTTGTTTCTTGTAAAGGTGGACATTTAGCGGTCAGTGCAGTTTTCAATAAAAAAAAGTGATAAAATTCCTATCATTTCCCAGGGGTCGGAGCTCTGGTTGTGCTGTGCCCTCCTCTGGAGCTCCATAGAGAGCAGGTAAGTCCTCCTTAAGTCACTGCAGTGCTCACAAGCTTGGACAACAGGTGACCATGGTCCTTGGCTTCCAGAAGTGCCATAGGGTCTTGGCTCAAGCTTGTGGGTGCAAGTTGGTTGTAAAACTGCTACTGAGGGACTTCAGTTTCTTATCCTGACACTCAGGTGGTGCTGCTTATAAGCTGGAAAGTTCTAACCTGTGAATACTTGATATTAATCACACACAGCCTCGGTGGAAAACAGCTCAGATGGTTTCTGTTAAGGTACAAAAGCAGCTATGCCCCAAACAGCATTTTGTGCATGTACTCAAGAAATGAAGCATTAAGAAAGCACACAGGAACCCAGCTGAAAACATGCCCAAGAAGGGCTGAGGCTTTGAGCCTTGCTACAGAAATACCTGCTCTTCTGATTCCACATTGCATCCATGCCAGCACACAGGGAGCTAGAGGAGACTGAAACAATACTGAAACCAAGGAGTGTCCGGGGTACAAAACTGTGTATTGTTTGCTTTAAATTAAACTGAAAACTAAAATACCAGCTTCACACACTAAAAACGAGGTCACCTTCTACAGATGAGTGACCACTTTGTGTCAGCGAGGAACAGCACATCAGTGATGACCCATGAACCTAGGAGACATCCTGAGGACACAAGAGGTTAGTTAGAGAGAAGGGGTTTGGGAAATGCTAAAATGATGGTGCAAACCAAGAGGACAAAGTTCAACTGATGTTAAGTTTTAGGGTTGTTTTAAACCAGCTGTGGTATTTTGATTTAGGTTTAACCTGAGAGATTGAGATGATCTCTCAGGCAGAAGCTCTTCCCTGTGAGGGTGCTGAGGCGCTGGCACAGGGTGCCCAGAGAAGCTGTGGCTGCCCCATCCCTGGCAGTGTTCAAGGCCAGGTTGGACACAGGGGCTTGGAGCAAGCTGCTCTAGTGGAAGGTGTCCCTGCCCGTGGCAGGGGTTGGAACTGGATGAGCTTTAAGGTCCCTTCCAACCCAAACCAGTCTGGGGTTCTGTGAAAAGTGGAAAAATGGGAAAGCAGCACTTAATAAGGGTCTCCACATGCACACAAACCCGTTTCGTTAATGGAGTAAAGACACACTAGTAACGTTTGCCATAAGCCATGCAGCAGCACTGTGGAAGAATCAGAATTACTAAATTTTAATAGATTAAAACCAAAAGAAATACAGGGATTTCCACTGAGGAATTCGTAAATAAAATCAGGGAAAAGAAAATCAACCAGCTGTAAAGGAGGTAGCAATGAAAAGCCAAGTTCTGTGCTAGGAAAGCATGTGCAATAGTACGAGGAAAGGAACACTGAGGAACCCAATTTGATGTGTATGTACTTGGCCAAGAGAGCAGAACTTGCCAGCAAGCTGCAAGGTAGCATCTGCAAATTAATCTGGTATCTATTACCCCTCAAGACTGTAATTCAAGGAGAGAACCCATTAATGTACATCAACGGTCGTGCTAGCACAAAGCAGGGGTTTGCATCTCTTTAATCTACAGGTACATGAGGTTTGGATTACTTTGATTCTGTAAAAGACACTTCACCAGTTCCAAAATGGCCTGTGAAGCGTGTTAAACCTGAACAGACCATTTTACAGCACATCAGAACAAAACAATAATGATCAAGGAAGCCAAGAGCTCTGAAGTACCAGGACTTGTCCTCTCAGACCAGAAACAGGCGAGCGTGGTGCATGCTTTCAGATAGAGCTGGACTGGCTGCACGGTGAACTTCTGCTTGATGCGGCGTTGGATGGGGACGGGGATGGCTGGGCCACAACACAGGTGCCCACACACAGCAACAGGAGGTAAGGAGAGGTGTGCTCATTGAATTGGCTCAAGGTAGGCTTTCACATTGGTTGCTCTCCCCATGTTACAAGGAAGATCCACTTCCTTCAACAGAACAGTACTACAGAAAGCAAAGGGTGGGTGGGATGTTAACACTGCACAGTGTTTTGCGTACCCCTCGAAGGAGCCTACTGAAGGCAGGAGCTGCTCCTGCTGTCCATTCAAATGGTCTGCCCAGGGAAGCTGCTCCTGGGTAAGCTCAGATCTGAATTCACAGTGATCTGGCTCCTGAGTAAGAACTAAAGCTGACGTGCTTAAGTCCTGACCTAGAAGGACCTCCACAGCCTCGCACTGGGCTGTGCCACAACACCATCAGCTCAGATCACAGGAATTCTCATCCCAGCTTACTCCACGTTCAGCTCCCCTGACAGAAACTCTGCATCCTCAGCTAGACAAAGTGTAAAGGGATTTCGGTGCAAGGGAAGAAAAAGGATGAAATAAAAATATACCAATTTAGAAAGCAAACTTCAAACAGGACCATAAGCTGGTGAGGAACCTCTTTAGTATCTGCGGTTCTGTTCAGCTCGGGCAGATCACACGTACATCGCAGATAAGCATGCATTCTTCAACCTGAAAACTTGTGCATGCACCCATCAGAGGGGATCTAATGGCCAAAAATAAAAGGTGAAGACATTTCATCATAAACCAAAAGGGAATCTGTGATGGGACAATTGCTAAGTTAATACAGTACTTCATTCTCTCTATACTTTTGGTGTCATCACCAAGTTTCCGTCAGAGTTGTGCACATTTCAACACCATCTAAGCAGCATTTGGAAGAAAAAGCAGCAAGTTCCTCAGGGTTTCCATAGCTCTGAACTACATAAAAATAGGTGCTATGGGGCTTCTTTCCAAATTCTAAATGAAAACAAATCTCAGCTACGGCAAAATTCCTTAGTCAACCACCACACCATCCAAAGTGCTTTTCAAGCCAACCTGAATTGCACTACGTAAAAACTGGCATTAACCTTTAGTGTTGGAAGTGAGATTTTTAGATCAGCTTTATCCATTACAGGTTACATGGCTAAAGTTATCAAATATAATAAAATTTCTACTTGGAGAATATACTCTGAACTTACAGTCTTAGGAACCTACAGAAGTTTAAGTATGGCCACATCAATCAACATGCAAGAAATTCCCAGGTTTACAGGCTGAGAAATATATAACACAGTGCTTTTAAAAACAACTTTTTAGCATAGATTCGTCTTTTTAATCAGAACTGCCAAGTGTGTTCTCATCACTACATTTCCTGACCAAGGAGTAACCCTTTAGAAAGGTGTTCTTTCATTTGCAGCAATGTCTATGTTGGTGAGTGAAGAAATGATTATATGAGAAAGAGTTTGTATCACAGCAAGATGGAGTTCTGGCAACATGAAACTCAACTCGTGTCCGAGTTCTCCAATTTCACATATTTATGTTTAGTGTATGCTTACTAGAATCAAATCCCCATATTTTAGGTCACTTCTCTGAATAAATATTCTTAGGTATACTGAAAGGAACCTACTCACTATTAGAAGTTAAAAATAAAAGCAAATAAAAGAGAAACCCAAACCAAAACCTTTTTCAGGAGACAAATCATTTCACTCAAGGAAAAATTTAGCTTCTCTTCCAGTTTGTTCCGTAGAGTTTTATTATATGGGCACAGCAGTAACTAAGGGATTAGTAAAGTAATGAATGGATTTTTGCTTATGTCTTGCTGTGGAGATTTTGTGCAAACCAAAAAGAGAAAACCTCACCGTCTGACCTGGGCACGAGTGAGATTTCACATCAAAGGGCCTGGCAAAGGAAATGGGTCAGAGTAGCTAAAAGGTGATGCAGAATACCAAGTTCTACTGCAAAAGAACCTTGGAAGGAAGAGATCCATCTATAACATGTGCTTTCCTAAGTGCCCTTCTTCGCAAGATTTCGTCGCAATGATTAAGATGCTGGTATACTCTTCCTATTACACAACCTCTTACACAACCACATGCGGGACATTTATAGACAGATTTACAATCAGAAAGAAAAAGGTTTCTTTCTTTTCCATCTTGATAATAAAATTAGGTGGGTTTTGTTTCTATACAAACTGTAGTCCAGCCCATTTTGCTCTCTTCACGCAGCAGATGAGCTTTAGACTCTCTCCGTGCTGGTTAGAAAAATCCTTTCCAGCACTTTTCCCCTAGAATGGGGTCGTTCCACAATGAACTGCTAGAGCACAATGCTAACTCCGGCTCAGACACCCTGTGCTGGTCGCTTTCTGTTCCATTTCTTCATTCATCATCATCATCCTCATCTTCCTCGCCATCGGAAAGGGATGTACACGGGCGGATCTGTCGGTAGCGATCGAGCCACTTCTCCACCATCTGGGTGACCAGCGGATGGTTGCGCCTGCGAGAGCTTTTCTGCATTGCCACGAGGACCCCTCCTTCTGTCACACAGCAGTCCAGCCACTCCCGAAGCAGCTTTTCCTGCTGCTCCTCATTCCCTATCTTTGGGGGAGAGAAAACAGATTGAGGCTTGAAACATCAAAACCAGCTTCAAGAGAGCCACCTGCGATACTCTGATATACCCAGGCCAAGGAGGGGAGCAATGTGGCTCCTTTTCAAAGCTTAGCAAACCACTGCAGCCAAGAGTCGGAGCCAAACACTGATGCATGCTGTGTTTTAACCAAAATGTGAGGGTTCTGCACATGTTCTCCAGCTTTTCTTCCCTTCTAAAGCCTTCACAGTGTGTTCCCAATACAGCCTTCCTATATTTAAGCTAATTATTTATGGTAGGCACCACAGGAGGGTAAGTCCTAAAAGCCTTCTGGCTTTACAAAGCAGTGTTTGGGGGCCTAACGGTTCTTGACATGAAAGCCTCCCTCTTGTAAGACATAGTAAATCTGGGAATTACTAAAAAATACCCCTCTCTAGACATAAACTCCATATTCTTTCTCCTTTAACTACAGGAGAATGCAATAACTTCGTGTTTTCCAACCCTCCCTTCCCCCACGCACACACTTCACTGAAGCGTGTTCACTATCTTTATAGTTATTCAAGAAGAAATGAGTTGAACTGCATTAGAAAGAGGTAGAAGAGGCTGTTATTACTGGCCTATATTTGTG